ATCTCTGTAACAGGCCGTGGATGATCATAGGGCCGTGAGACGTCGAGGCTCCCACATTTTTTTTTTTTTGGAAATCAGTTCACACATGATGGTGAGATTGTCAGTCTTACGCTCCGGCCTCCCATTACCCCCAATAAGATTCCTGGTACTCATTTCTATTAGAGGCTGAGTCAACCCCAGCGACATAGTGCGGCTTGAAGGATTAATTCTATTGAAAAATCCAATGACCTCATTGGGAATCGAACCCGCGACCTTCCGGCTTGTAGCACAATACCTCCTCAACCAATTACGCTACAGCGTGCCCTCTTTTATGTTGTTGTGTGCTGTTTCGAACAGGCAGAACCTCTGCGAGGGGGCCAACATGAACGATCCAAACTTAAGCATGTGCAAATACAAGTTCCTTGCAGAAATACTGCTGAGTTGTAACCGAGGAGAACGCTTAGCCAGAGAAGGTGAAACTAGTAACAAAAGTTTGGTAATGATAATCATGGAAATTGCATAATCCATATTCTATATGAAAGAGGGCGCGTCATCGTCAATTAGTGACGTCATCATTAGAAAGTTAGTAGAGTCTGTAACGTTATTAATATGCCTGTGAGAGGTTCAGCACTACTTACACGGGTCTATCCCTGCGTAAGGTTGCCTGCACAAAGCATGATGCACGCTGGTTGGTAGGGTAGATGGACTTAATTAGGAAACAGGCCTGAGGCCAGATGCTTCTAATACTCCCGAACTATGTTTACTAAACCGCCCAGCTCAGTATTGATCCCGGAACCCTCGTAGTGTCAGCTCGCACATCAGCATGTGACAAAGAGCAACACCTGCGAAACGCTTCGAGTTTGCTCGTTTTGTTGCAATTCTACTATTGTATGTGCAACAACAGATCATAAGTTAAATTAAAGACAGAACGAGCTGCTAACTAATGCATTCTGTTGCAATGAAATTAGAAATTTCAACACGAACGGCTGACGTGTAGTTCAACCTTATCTAATATCTGCTGTTCGGTGTTGGATATGAATAATTTTCCGCCGTTTCAAAGGCATTTGTTGCTTCCATCTTCAGAGTGGAATTTTGTAGGGTGCGTTTCTATTTTTATGCAAGCCTATGTTTTTTAGAGAACAAACGGAAGAGGCGGGAGAATACGGAAATATTCTTTAAGTTGGATATTTTATGACGATGTCTGTATGCAGTCTATATATCTTCAGAACCTATTTTCCCGGAAGGAAACCACCACCCCACATCTCCCCCTCGGATTATTTAGAAATATAAATCTGTATACATATAACTTCAAGAAACCTACACACTTCTACCTTGAAGTTGTAGGCAATATGTGTCTCCGAAATGCTAGTGACACTGCCAAAATCAACAGCACAGTGGTCGCTCGAACACTGGATTATGGGTTCGAATCCCACTCGAGGCATGAATATCTCTCTGCGTTCATTATATGTTTGTATTATCTTATGTACATTTGTGAGCCGATTGTATAGAAGAGTATAGGAGCCTCGACGCCTCACAAATGGGCCCCCACGGCCTGTTACAAGGATAGCTTTACTTAACCTCACCGCCATCTGTGAGCCGATTGTCTATAAAATATGGGAGCCTCGACGTCTCACAAACCTATGAGTCCCAATGGCTTATTACAGGGATAGCTTTACCTTTTTGTTTCCTCATGCAGGTAGTGATCTTGCGACGGGCTGGTCCCCCTTCTAAAGAAGCCTACCGAGTGTCTATAAGATTCATAATTTCAGAATTACACGGCTGAATCATCTTTCGGCCGGTGGCAACAGGAAAGCGTAACTGAGCATGGACATCGCTAGAAAAGAAAAAGAATTGAAGGAATATGCATGTGAAATTAATATGCCCAAGAGGAAACCCTTAACTTGTTTGTTTGAGAGCAGCTACTCTGGTTTCCAGAATTTATCGTCTGAACTGGGAGCTGCTTTACGCGGAAAACCATTAAAAATACTCGTCCTTTCCCAACAGAACTGAAACAGCTAGAATTAAACGATACCATCAACTACCAGGCCGCTAACGCAATGTTGCCTAAATTTTAATTAAAACATTCGGTGTCTAAACCACAGAATTAATTCGTAAATGCAATTCGTTTATACGTAACGACAAAACCAGCCGACCATAATATGGAGAGCTACATAAATTTCAGCCTTACCTTGACATTATTAGGAAATATCAAAGAAAAAAATAAAGCCAAGCCCTAGAGTTGATTAAAATTTTACAGGCTGTGCCTATTGCGACCTTTATATATGGGCTTAAATATCCGGATTTAGGGGGAATGTTTAGCAAGAGGCAAGCAACGAAAAATAATTTCACGGAGAGTAAAATTATTACGACGTACGTGGACGGTGAGTCCGTTAAACTAGTACAAAATTATGGCGTAAGCTGGCAGCGACTCAGTGGAATCACCACAAACATTATGACATAATGCGGCAGTGAACTCATTAAAATGAAACATGACGACTTAAGCAAGTAGTGGACAGGTCAAAATGATTTATATTACGATGTAAGCAAGCAGTGAGGCCCTGAAATAAATAATGTGACATACAGACCCGCTGTTAGGCAAAAACATAGAAACAAGCAAGGAGAAAAGAGTCGTTGCTATGCAACGGCGCGGTAAACACGCCTCTACAATGATAGAGTTACTGTTGTAAACGGTGTTATGCAACGCGTTGCTAGACAGCTCCAACAGTTGGACTACAACAATGGAAACGGGGAGTTTTCTATGTGAACCGTGTCGAGGAGTTGTCTTGAAGACAACTGGGGCGACCCAGTTAGTTAGCCGTGCGGAGGCAGGGTCGAATAGCTGCACCGTGACCCTGTCAGACGTAGGAGGCGACGAAAAGCGAAGTCTCAAATCTGAGACAGTAAAATATGGTCGCGAGTCCCAAGGGACAGCAGCATATACAGAAGACAGACCCGTCCTCTCGTAACAGTGGACGCCCAGCAAAAACAAGACCGTTACTGTCAAAGAGTAACAAATATCTGGCCATGAGCTCCAGATGGGGTTCGACATCAAGACTTACTGACTGACTGACCGTCTGTCGCAATGTGACTTTGACTTTGACCCAGTTAGTTGCTAGATGTCAGTTGTCAGTTGAGAGTTGAGTTCTGCACGAGGCAGGACCTGAGCGCGTGAACCTGAAGAATCTCCACTGTTAGAAGTCCTTGCCAGGAAACGGCTGGTGAAGACACAGAGGGCTGGAAAAGGCTTAGTGGGTGTTGTGGTGATTTGTAAAGTGTGTGGATTAGTGATCGAACTGTAACTACTTGCGGTTCCGAGTGATGTGAATAAGTGGTCAATAAATCTATTCACCAATCCAAACACCGTCTATAGTCACTCCCCTAAATCGCGACAATAATAAGCAGCATGATATCTGAAAGTATTATGACGTGAGCAGTCAATGCACCCGTTCATTCAGTACTATTTCCATGTATTCTTCATCGTGTTTAATAAATTCTTTGTGATCTGTACGGTCTAAACACCCAGTTTCTATTTGGGTTTTGTTACGAATGTGTGACAGGACATTTTGGAAGGGAGAACACATTACTGCCTAAATGAGCAGTAACGAAAAATAAAAAAATTATCTACGTATGTGCAGAATTGGGCGCGACAGCGTCAGAGTGTCCGAAACCAATTGATTACACTCTATCATTAGCCGAGATGTGAAAATGGGATTTGAAGGGCTCATGGTTATTTGCACATAGATAGAATTGTTTATTTACTTATTTTATATTCTTACTATTATTATTACTGTGACATGACACCTGAAAGGTAAAATAGTGGAGCCAAAACAGAAGGCCGTTGTTAGGCAACAGTTCGATAAACACGCGTCACAGACAAAAGGTTACGCACACAATAACAGAGGAAATGTTGGGATTGGAGTTTTATATGTGGTCCGTGCCGATGCTACATATCGGGAGACATCGGGAAAAGTTTATTGAGTACTAGGTGGTGATCAAGCTTACGACCGTTCAAGTGACTAAGCTGCCGTTGTAACATACGATACGTAAGCTAGGTGTGAGCTGCTTTGCAAAGCCTGTACTGAAAGAGGACTTGTATATAGTGCAAAAGAAAAAATGTTCAATGACGTGCTATATATGCGCGATACGTACACTTGAAGAAGGCCAAGCATATTTATAAGAGACATAACCATCTTCTGTCAGAGATGGTGTTACATAAGGACTAAGACCGCCAGGGTTCAGTTGGAAGAATATTCTGGTCGTGAGTCTCAAGGAGCTTTGCGCTAAGACGAACTAAGTGGAGATAAACTGGCAGTAGTAAAGTAAATTTGAGGAGGAGATGCGAGACAGTCGCCAGTCTGTAATGACAGAGTATGGTGGCTCAAGAATATTCATAGTTAGGAGCCGTTACCAGGCAAGGATTGGTGAAGGCATAGACTATGTTTGCTGCAGTACACTGATTTGTAAAGTGTGCAGATCTGTGAAACTGTGTAGAGATATGATTACTCAATAAATTCAGTTACCAATCCAAACACCACAATTAGTCACTAACGTGCGACATCATTTACTGACCACAATTCTGAGACTGATCACAACGAAGAAAAATCGAAACACTGTCATACCAGAACCAGAAACTTCAGCACCTCTAACTACAAAGCCCAGCAGCCCATACAATCGTGACCGAATGGCACAGTGGTTGAGCTATTTTTGTTTGATGCTCGCAATATTCCGAGATCAGTCCTCGATTTTGAGGCTGATTAACCTGACAAGATATTCGAAGTCTTAATCCGTGCTGTCAAAAACCTATACAGAACCTAAACATGGTAACAAAACTCAGTAACTGATAACGCCATTAAACTAAACATGAAGAAAAATAAGACAAGATATTAACCAATCCACTTCCAGAGATTAAGAAGAGGGGGTTAAGAGTGAAGCTGTAACGCAATCTGCATGAGATCTCTTTGTACCTGTCAAACCCTCAGGCAGAGCGTGTGTGTGTGGCTTCCCACTGGAGATACACTGACCTGCAGGTTCACGTGCTGCAGACTCTGCAGACTCCTGAAGGCGCCAGACTCGATGCTGCTGATCAGGTTGTTCTGCAGATGCAGCTCCAGGAGTGTTGGCAGGGGGTCGAACACCCCGCGTCCAATCTCCACGAGCCGGTTGTTCTGTAACCGCAGCTCTCGCAAGTTGCTCACATATCGGAAGGTTCCTGGTTCAAGTCCCTCCAATCTATTGCCGTCCAAGCTCAGCGACGTCAGTTTCTTGCTCGTCGTTAACCAGTCCTTGGGGATTGTTCTGATGAAGTTGGCGCTGAGGTGGAGTTGCGCCAAGTTTGGGAGCGATAGCAGGGCCTCGGGGTCCACGCGGCGGATGGCGTTCTGCTGCAGGTAGATGACGGTGAGCAGAGCAGAGTCAGTGAACGCATCGGCCGGCACTTCCAGTATGTTATTCTCGGAGAGGAAAAGTTCTCGGAGTTCGGGTAGGCGCGCAAAAACGCCGCTGATGTAGTGGATGTGATTGTGGCTGAGGTCCACTGTACGAAGCTTCTTATTGGCCTGAAAAGTGGCACCGTCCAGGAATACTATCTTGTTGTGGCTCAGGTCAACAGACTCGAGCTCCAATAGTGAGAGAAATGCGTCCTGCTGCACTGTCTCGATTGAGTTGTAGTATAGGGACAACGTGCGGAGGGCCGGCATAGGGTGGAAGCAGTCGGACGGGATGGCTTCAAAGTTATTGGAGCTCAGGTCTAGAAAGAGCAGGGCGCCCAGTTGCGAATACCCGTCGTCGTGGATGTCTCCGATCTCATTCCAAGCCATTCGTAGCGAGCGCAGGTGTTCCAGCCTGCGCAAAGCCGCCATGGGAAAGCTTCGCAGCTTGTTTTCGGCCAAGTCAAGTTCGGTAAGTGACTCCTCCAGCCCCGCGAAGGCGTACTCGCTGGTCTTCTGCAGAAGATTGCCTTTAAGTTTCAGTTTCTTGAGGTGTAGCCCATAAAAGCTGTAGCTTGGCAGATCGGTGATATCGTTGGCCTCCAGGTCAAGTGCCCGCAGTTCGTTGAGCCCGGAAAGCGCCTTCTGTGGCACATGTTGCAGGTGACCTGACACGAGACTGAGTGATTCGAGGCCGCCCTGAAGCTCGACTAGGCTGTTGTCCGCGAGTTCGGTCAGGCTTGAGTGCGAGATCTGCAGGTGGCGAATTTCGGCGCCCGGCGGGAACAACTCGGCCTGCAGCACCGTCACCTGCGCATCAAAGTTATAGACGCTGAGCGACTGCACGGGACCCGCCACTTGCATGAGCACCTCGCGCAGAGAGCGCGCCGTGGCGCCCGGACATTCCAGAAATAGGCCGTCCTCGAAGTTGTAGCAGGGACAGGACGAGGGTGACGACGGGCAAATTGAGCCGCTAACCAGCAGGGGCAGCCACAGGAGCAGCAGCAGCACATGAGTCATCTCACCGCTGCCATGCTGAACGCTGCTAACCTGGAAAACATCACCAAACATACATCTGAGAATTCATTGCCGCCAAGTTTAGACAAATATTACCAGCATGCTCAACAGAACTCGTGACACTGTCTGGTCTAGGATGTGAATGTTACTGGAGATGAACAATGTCCACGAGTGGCAGCTGGTACTGTCTACCCTCGATGCAAAGCGTACTCAGGATACCATGCCAGTCATGGATCTAGTCTCTGGCTTTGTGTATCATTTCATTCCCTTAGTACCATGTGAGATCAACTTTGCCGACAGTAGATATACATAAGACCAGATTCGATTATAAGTGACAAATCTGTAAATGGGTTTGTCCCAGAATTGTAAGTTGGGTTACTCTTGCAACCTGACTGTTCACACAGAATGCCTGCTCGAGAACAGAAGGTTTCTGAATTCAATCTATGTGCAAGTCACTTTGCTTCCCTCTGCTTAACTTGTCATGTACAGCGAGCAGTAGCGTCGGAGTCAAAGAAAGCGTTTCAGCAAAGAAAACCCCAGAATACTCGAAATCAACTTAATAAATCTCAGGCTCATTGTAAGATGATGAAGCTAGCTGCTTAAACAGGACCACACTGCGGGTGTATGAATATAAACAAATAGAGAAACAGAAAACGCTTACTGTTCTTCACTGAAAGTCTTGGATATTTGTGTAATCCCACAGATGAATTGATCAAATTAAGAATACTAGGTCAAGAGTATTATTATAATTGTTTATGCAAATTAGTAACCATGAATTACTTGTTACAGATTCACCCTATGACAATTGGAAACACTTAGCATTATACAGAACAAGGAAGTGGCGTGGTTATTTATTTCTTCTGCCTTGTCGCATCCATTTGTTTACTGCAATCATTGCAGATAATGGCAGTCCATATATTATCGTCCTCACAAATGACAGTGTACCGAATTCGGACAGACTAAGAGCTAGTCTTCAAGATTTTGTTTCAGTGTTAACGCCTCCAAGTAGTCTGTAGGAAGACACGCTTAATACCAAAACACACGCTGTGCTCTCCCAAATGTAAATCTGATGCAAGTTTTCAATTGTTAAATTGCTGATTGCCTTGTAGAATGGTTTCATATATTCTATTGAAGGTTATTCAGCAGTCAACGCGGTGGCATATATATTTTCGGAAATATGAAAAAGATATCCCTGTAACAGACCGTGGAGGCCCTTAGGTTTATGAGACGTCGAGGCTTCCACATTTTATAGACAGTCTGCTTACAGATGGCGGTGAGGTTTTCGGCTTTACGCGCCGGTCACCATTTACCCCAGGAAGATTCCTGGTACTCTGCTTCAGGAAATCTATGCATGAAATTACTGTTCGCAAACATAATAGATATTCAGCAGTTTCGGATGGTGTTTGGAGGAAAAAGTGTGAAACACTGCGCGCATATTGGCGTGAATTCGTCACTTTATATGTGGAAACAGAATGCTTGCAAAATTAGGAATTTATGGAGTGAGTAAGAATTGTGGGAGGACTATTAAATTAGAAGAAAAATAAGTCCATATATCAAGCAGGAAATATTGCATACAAATGCGTGTAACGATTCTGAGTACGAATTTAGGAAGTAAGAGGAAGTAAGAAATACGCTTCATCATTAATAATTTAGTATAAATGTTTGGGCTAAAACTGAATAAGATTTTCTCATTTTTCTTCTTTCATTAGTGAAGGGCACAGGTACAGATGCAGTGAACTGTATATTACAATATGGCAACACCGCTTAATCCCTGGATTCTTCATGATACAATAAACTCTTTAACAATTCTAGGCCATATTCATGCAACTCTCATGCATTCGTCCATTCTATTCTCATCAGTACACGCTGTTTTTAACAAGTTAGTGTGCAAGTTATTTTGTCAACCCAAGTTTCGTTTAGAGCAAAATTCGCAGCATTGTAGTTCACAGTGTGCTCCACAAATCAGGCAATTTCTGAGGTTCTCACAGCGGTGAATATGAATTCTACGATCGAAATGTGAACTCGACTTGTTCCTTCAATATTTCATAATTTACAATTATCCTTAGACATCCGGGACTCTGAAAGTAAGAGGAAGAGTCAGGAAATAGGTCACAAATAGACGTAAAACAGCTGTAATGGACGTAATATGTTTTACATGTGTATCACTAGGTAAAAATTAGAACATAGAAAACTATAATTTTGCCTGTGGTTCAGTATGGGTGTGAAACTTGGTCTCTGACATTAAGGGAGGAACATAGACTGAGGTTGTTTGAGAACAGAGTGTTTGAGAATATTTGTACCGATGAGGGATGAAGTGACAGGAGGTTGGAGAAAACTGCATAATGAGGAGCTTCATAACTTGTACTCTTCTCCAAGTATAATTATAATGATCAAGTCAAGGAGGATGAGGTGGGCAGGTCATGTAGCAAGAATGGGGGAGACGAGGAATGCGTATAGGATATTGGTGTGAAAGACAGAAGGAAAGAGACCACTGGGAAGACCAATGCGCAGGTGGGTGGACAATATTAAAATGGATCTGAGAGAGATAGGATGGGATTGTATGGATTGGACTGATCTGGCTCAGGATAGGGACCAGTAGAGGGCTCTTGTGAACACGGTAATGAACCTTCGGGTTCCATAAAATGCCGGGACATTTTTGAGTAGCTGCAGAACTGGAGGCTCCTCCAGAAAGGCACAGCTGCATGAGTAAGTACGTAAATCACTAGGTAGCAGTACAGTCCAGCCTCATGACAGTGTAGGCTCAAGAAACACAGTTGGGATTTCTCACTGTCCAGTGTAAGCAGTGTACATGACAAAGACAAAGTGTTGCAATGGTGAAAATTCTGATGCACTTCAGCACTTGCGATTATGGAAGTGCGATTCTCGGAATGTCGTCAGTCTATTTGCATATCTGTACAATTGTACACCCCTCTAGCGCCTGAATGCTTGCACCGATTTTGTTCATTATCCACCACAGTTTCGGGAACCAGCAAATATAAACATATTTTAGCTCCCAAAGTAGCGGCATTTTATAGCATCTCCAAAGCATAATATCGCGATTTTAATTTCAATAATTTATTGTAAACATTTCTGTAAATAAATTGTACAGGATAAATCTTCAGGAAAATTAAAATTCTGGGAAGAACAAAACGCTTTGTTTCCTTGATACGACATGGACCGCATAGAAAACGATATGTCCAACAATATTTCTATTATTGTGTATGTATTCGTTGTCGCGGGAATGTTTTTTTACTGAGCCGTTGTCTAGCAAAGACAAGGGGACTTTTACCTAGCCGTTGCCTAGCAACGATAGGGGATATACATACTGACACATATATTGATGGCAGGGATTTATGATGCAGACTGCTGAGATCGGTTCAGGTGTCATGATATACATACCAAGTTTTATAAATACTGGATTAGGCATTCAAAAGTTAATGACTGTGAGAGGGGTATACAGATACACACACAGCATGGAAATCATATAGAGCCTACGTCAGGAGAGCAGGCGTACCTTCTATATGAGAAAGTACATGCGACGAGTTTGGACCGATTTCTTTTTCGCTCTGTGAAACTTCTGTAATAGTTCCGTGCTTGATTCGAAGACTTGGTGACAATTTCCCATAACTACTAGGCAGTTTACGCAACAGGCTTTATTTCTTCATATTTTTTTTCTTGGCACTACAGCCCCAGTAGGCCTAGGCCTACCTCCATGAACTTCTCTGTTCACTTCGGTTTTTCTAGATTTTACACATTCGATAGGACTCCTTGGGCGGGTGATCAGCTCGTCGCAAGGCCTCTACCTGTATACAAACACAGAAAAACTCACATACACAAACTAAATATCCATGCCATGAGTGGGATTCGAACCCGTGATCCAGGTTTCCAAGCGAGCGAAGACAGTACATGCCTTAGACCGCTCGGCTACCGTGATCGGCATTTCTTGACATTTAGCTGGTTAAATATGGTGAATATAACTTGAACGCGAATATAAGAAGGGTAGGGTTTCGCGTTTAATGTTTATCGGGCCTTCCATTTGATTTACGCACAGAAATACAGTAAACAAAGTGATTCTTATTGTGGACGTGACTTCTGAAATGCGAGTATAGGTTTAAGCAACAGTACCAACCGACAAGCTGCAGCCTAGCTGTGTGTGCCCTCCGTTAAGCTCGACATAAAACTGCTAAAACGACTACAATTTAGGAACTGTCTTTTGGGACGTGTCACAGTGTAGATCTGATAGAAGTTTACCGATGTTTCGTAGAAACTTATGTACTCTGCTTGTCTGATTTATTCTTCGATCTTCTAAGATAAGAACAGTACGAGCCTCAAATACATGGGTAAATATTTACACACTACACGGCACAAATTCGCAGATGCTGGTGCCCTAAATTTATATTAACTTCCACCAGACATTTTCAGGAACAGTGATGTCTGAGGTTCTCAATGGCCACTATTGCAGCCTTCTGAGATCTGACGTCATGTAAGTCTATAGATAGACACTGACGTTTCGGGATAAAGTGCTGCCTCCATCGTCAGGTAGAGAAGAGTTTCGTATGAAACCCTTTTACCGAGAAATACTGTATTTCCAGAGATGACAGAGTTCACTTAGGTGACTTTTATATAAGATCAGAGAATAAAACAGTTCTTGTAGAGTAATTTAAATTTTTCCTGTACGTAAAGGCCTAGATTATACACCGTATCACTTAGAGTATAAGACACACACTTTACATATTTATCTCGCTGAAAAATTATATGTGCATGGGGCCCATACCGAACGGTTTCTGAAAAAGAGATATCTCACTGTACAGTTCTGAAATTCTTCATAAGAAAAAGATATTACTTACTGTTTCCGGTTCCGGCAGTTATTGTTCAAGTGACAAAGTTGGTACAGTTTACCTAGCAAAATACATTTTCGAAAATTCCAACGTCAACATCAATGCACTTTGCAGCTCGTGTGAGGACATGATGTTTTGCTCGTCTGTACAGTGTACAGTGAATTATCTCTGTCTAGGAAACAGTTCGGAATAGAA